GCCTCTGAACCCTCTGTGCGGGAGGGCCCTGCCAGCGCTTTGCGTGCACTGTGCCGGCAGCGCTGTGTTTCCGTGGCCCCCCGGCCCCCCGGCCCCCCAAATGGTGTCCTACTTGAGGGAACAGCGTGTCTGGGGTGTGCCTGCTCGTGCCCGGCTTTCCTGCTGCATAACCGGCACTGCACCAAACCGGACCCAGCCGAGGGATGTTGGGAAGTCCTGTCACTGTGAGGTGTCACAGCCAGAATACCCCTTCAGGTGTCCCAGCTGTTCCTGGGCTTGCTGCAGCCCCAAAATTATCTATTTTGCAGCCTATTGAGAACATGTTATTGCACTTCTCCCTTGGTCTGTCCCTCCCTGCCAGATCAGGATTAACGTGACATCCTTGCTGGCTTGGCTTGGTCCTTTGGAAGGTGCTGATGACGCTGGCTGGGCCTCTGTGGGATCCCTTCCCTGCCTGCCTGTGTGGGATCCCTTCCCTGCCTGCTTCCCTTCCTCCGTGGGAGATCCCCCGCCTGCCGCAGAACGACTGCATTATCCTCCTCCAAATCCCTCTTCTGCCGTGACGTCTGCAGAGCACTTGACTGAGATTAGTCTGTCATGTGGAGGTTCTTACTCCCCCACTGACCTGTGCTTCCCCTTCTGCGGCTGCTCTTGGCTCCTGTTTCTCCCCTGCTTGTGCAGCTGGCGGCAGCACGGGCTCTGCTGCGGGGCCGTGGGGAGACCGGAGTGCCGGGGGGAGCGTGGGACACGAGTAGTTCCTTGCTCTGTCTGCACTAACTTCTCCATCACAGCTTCCTTCCCTGTGCACTGCCCTCTCCCAAGAGTGTTTCTGACACCTCCTGCATTTCTCTGAAAAGAGTTTTTAACTGGATCCTTGTTGTTATTTTGAGAGCTGTCAATGGAGCTAAAGGTTTTATGCCTCATCTGCACAGCGTCCAGCTGCAGAGCCGTGAGGCCACCAGAGTTCTCCTGGGTGCATCCCAAAGTCCTGCCTGGACTGCCCTTCAGTGCCTATGTTTTATTTAAAGCCATAATTGGTGCTTTTGTGCTGGGCAGGCAGCTGCGCAGTGCCCTAAGCGTGATCCCAGTGTTGTCCCTCAGGCCATTGTGCACTTGGCCCTGGTGATGTGTGTTTCCTTCATACCGCCCTGCTTGAATTTCCTGCTTCCTCCTCACTTGGCAGCGAGTGCCCTTGGATCAACACCAGTTTGCTGTGACAGCAAGTCGCGGACCGTTGTTCAAACAAGGGAACAGCAAGGAGCGGTGCTGCCTTGCCACGGCATTCAGCATCGATGAAGCACAACTGGAACAGCCTCCAGCCCTGCTGCCAGGTCTCCAGGAGGAAACTGCAGCTTTGGCAGGGACTCAGAATCAATTTTTTGAGCAGCATCAATTAAGAAGCTGAGAAATTGGAGTTGACGCTGGGATGGAGTTGAGGTGCTCAGGTTTCTTAGTGTTGAGATGGGTCAGTGGTGCTGCTCTCGGTGTGTGTGCAGGGAGAGGGTTCCATGAGGGACTGCTTTACCCGGGGAAAATGTGATCTGGTCACCCAAAGCTGGGGTGGGTCAAACTCAAACTGGAAACAAGCTGCAGATTTTGCTGAGTTAATCGTTGAAATCCTTCATCTTGGGATGGATTGGATGGGATTTCCTGAAATCTTTATTTAGGCTGGAGATTTCTATGAGAGATGTTTTAGTTTTACTTCAGAGATAAATCAGTGACAGGATTTTCTTGATGATGCTTCTGTCTTGGGTTATGCCCAGAATATGACCCGGTGTTTGTGACCAGCCACGCCTGGGCTTAATGATTTCAGATCCCTGCTTAGAAACATGGGATAATTTCAGTTGCTTTAAGCTAACTATCTTCTTTCTCCTTTTGAGGTGTCGAGGGTTGTTTTTCCAGTAATTTGGACCTTTTTGAAGCACCTGTTTGCCTAATGCCATGAATATTGCAGTGAACAATGAGGAAGAAAAAGCTGTCCATTCCTGGTCGAGAATTTCCTCTGCCGGACAAAAAGTGCTGGAGGAGGCCCTCCGAGTCTTCAACCCTATGTCCAAGGACCTCTCGGACACAGAGACCCAGCTAGTGGCCTTCATCCAGGGCCTGAAGGAGGAGGGCTACCAGCCCACGATCCTGAGGAGTAAGGATGTGTACGGGTACAGCTCGTGCACGGCAGACACCCCAAGTCAGACGAAGGAGAGCACCCCACACAGCTGTGTCAGCACCAAGTCCGCACAGAGTCCGGCCCGGAACACCACAGCCATGGCAAAGGTGTCTGCTTCACCCACCAGCATTCCCGTGAGCTCTCTGAAAGTCTCCGCTCAGCCCGTCTCCAAAGGGGATTCCAGGAATCTCCTGTTGAACTCTTTGAAGCAGACAGGGTCTGGCACATCCAAGGCAGCGGCAGTGGGCTTCCCTACAAACATGTATCCCGACGTGTATCCAGCCGTGAGACTGTCCGTGGTTCTGGAAGCCCTGGTGCCACTGAAAACCACGACGTCCTGTTTGGAGTCCAAATACACGCGAGGGCGGCTTGGGATCTCGCCCTCAGACCTTAAACTCCTCAAGAATTCCAGTCCACCAAGGCAGTTTCCTTCAGGCAAGAGCACTAAAATAACTGAAAGCAAGGGGTACAAGCATTCGGTGAAGAAAGCACCAGATTCTGCCACCCATGCTTTAAACCTCCTGAAGGGACCAAAGGGTGGAGTGCTGCAGGAGAGCAACGCCTGCAAGGCCTCGGGAATTCTCAATGGGAGAGTCACAGGCAGCTCATCCCAGGGCTCCACCACGGCACCGCAGCCCAAGACCCTGAAAATCAAAGATAAGGAAGCTCTGGTAGGAAAAACAGAGTGGAAGGACAGCAGCAGTTACCGGGAGAGCGCTGGGCAGAAGAAGAGAAGAGCCACAGAGGCAAGAGAAGCACCACAGAGGAAAAAAGCAAATACCATTCCTGTCCAAAAGAAAACTAGACAGGCTCAGAGCACTTTGAACCTACTGAAATTCCGGACCATCAAGGTGGGCAACTCTTCCTCTGATGATGAAGTGAGGAGGAGAGCACAGAAGATTCTTAGGGTCAACCTGTCCCCCGTGATTCGAATTCAGCCCTTGTCCCACTCTCACAGTGTCCCCTGAGTTTCTTCACTGTCACTTTTTTTTTGTAAGTAAGTAAATAGGAGCCTGGCACCAGAGCGCGGAGAAGTTTGGGAGCAGCTCTGTGTCTCTGGTGCTGACATGCCGACTAACCTGCAGGCAGAGCAGCTGCTCCCGTGCTGTTCTGCCTGTCTGCCACTGCTGTGCAGGACTGGCTGCAGAAGTCCAAACCCCTGTTTGGGAACACGGGATGGTGACTCCGGCCAGCGGCGAGCCAGGCAGGCCGGAGAGCTCACTTCCTGCTGAGCTCCCCTGGACGTGGCAGTCTGAGCTCTCGTGCAGGGGAGAGCATGGGACTTTCTCATGACATCGATGCACTGTGATATTGCTCTTTTTCAAGCTGTACATTTACTGGTTTTATTTTGATCAAATTTTATAACTTTATTATCTATATATCTATATATCCATATATGTGCATATGGCCCAGGAACTGTGGGAAGATGCACTTCCTCCATCCCTCTGGGATAGGATTCAATAGCTTTTGTTCCCCCTCCCCTTCAGCCAGTCTTTTGTTGAAAGGTGCCAGGATTCCTTTGTGGTTCAGTGTTGTGACAGTCTGTCCTGGGCTCCCTCAAGCAGCTCAGAGGCAGCAATGTTATAGCCACTCGTTTGTCTCCAGAATGCCAAGCAATTTGGAGAATTACCAGCTGGTAGGTTTAATCCTATTTTCGGTATTACCTCTGCATAGCAGTGGGGGAGTGTCACGGGGCCTGACGTCTGAAGGTACCTCCTCCCTTTGTTGGTAGCAGAAGTTCTGAACTCATGGTAGGGATTTGCCTCCAAAGAGCGATTCCTCCTCAGCACCCAGCATTGCCCCACTCTCCTGTATCCCTGGTACAGCCGTAAAACATGGACTGTGACTGTTAAAGCCAAAGGGCTGGAATTGTGTAAAGTGTCCTGCCCACCACATAACTGAATTGCTGTTGCTGGGTGTTTCAGGAGCAGGTTCTAGATACCGGTAGTGAAGACTTGTTGGTTTTGGCTGGGTTAAATCATGATAAAGACACGGGCTGTGTTTGAATGTATTCGCTACATCCTGCCGGTCTCAGAGCTCAGTGGGATATCTGAGCCTGAGTTAAAGCAGAAAAGCGAAAGAGGTGAGAGGACACGTGCCAGCTCTTAAACATAGAGAGTTGCTTTCTCTTGGTTTGTGAGGGTGAAGCAGTAGGAGGGGAGGTGGGCACTGTGTTGTGATGGGAGCGGCTTTGCTGTGCCGTCAGGGATGTTGCAAGGAGGTGTGTGTCAGGTGTGAAAGCTCTGCTGTCCCCAGGAGGCACTGTGGAACCGCTGCAGCACCGGGGGCACGCTGTCGGATGGGATCACAGGCTTCACAGGAAGGGATCTGCAAGCTCCAGGAGAAACACCTCGTTGGAGCAGTAGGTGCTGCTGCTGTCACATAGGAGGGGCAACCTGGTGGCTTGGGGAAAGGAAGCAGCATTGAGCTGGGCATGGACCTGGCTCAGATCTCTGCAGCAGTGAGCCTGTAATCCACTCATTCTCTCACCAGCTCAAAATACTAGTTGTCTGACCTAGTAATCTCTGTGGACATTGGCTGAAGGGATGAGCTCCCCAGGGAAGCCCCAGCTCCTTATGTTTAAGCCCCCACGAGCACCTGGTTGGATTTCAGTGGCTTGTAAAAGGGGTCAATGTCTGATCTCCAGCTCAGAGAGGAAGACCATGGTATGGAGAGAAGAGAGAAGGTTCATGATGGGGTGAGAGGGCAGGGAATTTGAGTGTTCCAAGGTGCATCTGTGTTCTCCCCTCTCACGCAGGTAGAGCAGGGTGGAGGTTCTTCATTGAGCAACCTGGTCTAGTAGAAAGTGTCTCTGCCCATGGCATGGCAGTTGGAACAATGCAGGCTATTCTGTGATTTTATGATTCAGGGCATGATTGCAGGTCCTGAACCCCACACTTAGATTCTGAGTTGCTGTCAGAGATCATAACTTGCAGTGTTTGAAACTGACCTGTGAATGCCGCTGCTTGTCAGCAGAGGAGGAGGAAATACTTCTTTCTGCTTCTGTGTTTTGAAATGTCCTGGCAGAGAGTCCCCTCTCTTGACCTGATGCTGGATGAACAGGGACCCTCCATCACTGTCAACTGGCCAAAAATTGCTTTGTCCCTTTTGTTCCCACTCCTTCAGACCTTTCTCATTCCCACGCTCTCAAATGCCAGGTCTTGAAGTCCTGCACTGGCGTTTCTCTTTTTGGCTGTTTCCCGAGGAGGGCTCTGAACTCCTGCCTGCAGTATTGCTGTCTGTCAGGCTGCTCAGCAGCTTCCCCTGTTCCCAGACCCTTATAAGGGCACCAAGAGCTGTGTCTGGAGCCTCCTCTTGCACCACAGACGTCCCAGCTGAGTGCTTGGCCTCCTCTGGGAAAAACAACGTGCATCAACAAGGCTGAATTTGGGTCGAGGTTGCTTTTCCTCTAGCCTGAGGAGGAAGTTGAGCACCTGAGGCCAACTTAGCAGGCCACATCCCTCCTCTTCACTTTGTGTCTTCCCCCAGCTGTGTTGCTGCCTGCCTCCCCACTCTTCTCCATCACCTCGTCTTTCACAGCTTGGGTCTTTGCCAGTCAAGGACTTGGCTTGTACTTGCTGCTTGACACATCCAGCAGAGCATCCAGCCTTAGTGCTGCCAT